GGAATTCTGGGAGTTGAAGTCTGGACATCTTCAAGTTGCCAAGGTTGAGAAACACTGATCTATATGTTACTATTTAGATCTTCCTGGAAGTAAAACTAGCAGAATACTTTCAACACTCAGGAAATGGAACAATCAGTTATTTTGCAATTCAGGTTCCCTTTGCTAGCTGTTAATTAGATCGTGGAATACAATAAATTACTTTACAAGGGAAGCACCAGTGTAGTGACTAAGAGACTAGGCTGGAAACCAGGAGACTGAGTTCTAATTCTGCCTAAGACACAAAGGCAGCTAAGTGATCTTAGGCCAGGGAAGGAGGCAATATTTCCAAGAAAATCAGAGACTAGACCAGGGAGTCACCAAGAGTCAACACTGGACAGAATTGTACTGTACTGCACAGAACAAAATAGGGGAGCTTTTTCTGCAAAAAGAGAGGTGAAAGAGTTGCAAATACTTGAAATCTAGGGCCCCTATATTGTGAGTGAGCCTATTTTTTATTATGTTGTGAGGTTTTTATTGTTCTTAGCTGCTATTTTATGCAGTCATATTGTTAATATTGTGAATTATTGGATATGCTTTTGTTAGCCATCCAGAATCATTATATGAGATGGATAACCACCAGGGGGCAGTATACACTCTTTCCTTCTGTTCAATTATGTTTGATTCTCAGAGACTCTCCCAACAAGTCCCTGAAGTTTTCTTGACTAGTTTTTTCAGAATTAGTTTGAAACTCCTTTCTAGGCCTCAGAGATGGTGACTGGCCTAAAGTCACCCACTGTGCTCAAGATGGGACTGGAACTCATGGTTTCTCGATATCTAGCCTAATGTCTAAACCACTACACCAAACTGGCTGTAACATACATTCACTTTCATTCTATTTAAAACTTGTTGAAGTTAAATGGCCATTGATCTCACTGTGGTGCTGAAACACTCTATCAGGAATGGGACTGTGGCATTTGAGATGTCTATAAACAGTGCATTAATTTTAAGAGCTTTCTTGGCCCTGGAGCTTAATGGTGTTATCCAGAGTTCAGTTCCCAACATAGAAATTATGTAAAACCTCATAAAATAAAAGTATGACATAAGATAATCTCTTTAAAAGGAAAGTAGACAATGTACATCCTTATAAAGATAGACTCTACTATAAACCATGTGATTATTTGTAGATAGAAAACATGAAAAGGGGATGTGTGTGACAAGATTAAAGGGACGTGATGGCTCAGTGGCTAAGATGCTGAGCTTGTCGATTAGAAAGGATGGCAGATGGCAGTTCGAATCCCTAGCACCGTGTAAGAGTGAGCTCCCATTACTTGTCCCAGCTTCTGCCAACCTAGCAGTTCAAAAGCATATAAAAATGCAAGTAGAAAAATAGGAACCACCTTTGGTGGGAAGGTAACAGCGCTCCGTGCACCTTCAGCGTTTATTCATGCTGGCCACATGACCACTTGTCTTCGGACAACACTGGCTCTTCGGTTTTGAAATGGAGATGAGTACCGCCCTCTAGAGATGGGAACGACTAGTACATATGTGTGAGGGGAACCTTTACCTTTTTATGACAAGATTAATGCATATTCAGCATAGCATAGGATATTTGCCTTGTGAATTTTTTGAATTTATATGTTGCTTCATAGCCTCAGAGAAATACTCTATGTGCTTAGCAAAGTAGTTTGAATCAGCACTACCACCAGGACATTTCTCTTTCAATGATAGCCCTACAATTGAAAATTATATGAATTAATTGGAGCTATTATCTGATGATTACATTTCTTTCTTCCTCATTCTTAAATTGCATATTTTATAGTTTGCATATTTTATAAAATGTATATTTTATAAAGCATATAATTATTATTTTTCAGGGGATCTGCTGTGGCTAAAATAATAGGCAACAATGTAAAGACAATTCAGAAGTTTGCTTCTACGGTGAAAATGTGGGTTTTTGAAGAAACTATTAATGGGAGGAAACTTACAGATATCATAAATAATGATCATGAAAATGTGAAATATCTTCCTGGATATAAACTACCAGAAAATGTGGTAAATATTGGAACTGATATAAGTCAATACACTTTCTCTTGATATCTTGTGACATACAATTTCTGAAAATAAGAAAATTCCATTGAAAATTTTTGATCTTTCATGAATGTCTACCACCAAACCAATTATGGGGAAATTGGCTACATATTCCCTCACTGAATTTCAGACTTGGCTTATGATTTTACCTCATGGGTATAAATTAGATATCATTCCAGAGATTAAAGAAAACAAAGCAGTTTCCATTGACATATATATATGTTAAATTTCAAAAGAACAATTGCCATCTACCACAAAAAGTCAAACAAGGTTTCAATTAGAATGTTGCGGTTATACTTTTAGTATAGCTTTTATTAAAATACTTTAAATCTATAATAAAGGAAAAATTATAATTGAGGAAAAGATATAGTAAATGTCAAAGAGAAAAGAAAGGATAAGAAAAAAGAGAAAAGAAAGAGAAAACAGAACAGAAAACATGAAAAATGTACAAAAGACATAGTTTGGAAGCATCCTCTTTTTTCCCCATGTCAGCTGCCTTTTTTAAAAATTTAATATAAATATCAAGAGCAACATACTCAAAATTCATATAGGATTGAAACTCAAAAAATTAGAATATCATGCAAAAGTTCATTTATTTCAGTAATGCAACTTAAAAG